TGTCCTCTAAGCCTTGGTATAGAGAATGACTTTCCTAGATGGTTCAGGGAACCAAAGCGTGAAGCCAGATTAAAATGCATCAGAGAGCAGTGGCTGAGCTAATGACACACAGAGATGGAAAGAAGCTGGGACAAGATAAGGAAGACATTGCTAGAACTTCTTTTTATAAGATGCATTCTTCACAGAAAGGTCCACTTGCATCTGAATCACGTGGAATCAAGGGGAAGTGGCCATTGTCAGAAAGGGTGGCTCATCACCACAAGCTCCAGCCAGCTCTCCTTGCTCCCATGCACACACAGTAGAGGCTTCAGAAAGTCCCTGCTTTGAAAGACGGATAGACAGAGCCCTCTGGCTTCTAGCAGTATGGACAAGCAATCTGACCCCGAAGGTCAAAGAAGTGTAATGTTCAGGTGGTATTCGCTGTGCAGATGCATGGATGCCTGTCATGATGTTAAGACGTCCACTGCCAAAAATAGCAAATACATTTAAGAAATAAATAAGGAACGTTTGAATGATGATTGAACTAAGAATACAGGCAATGAGAGAGATGAGAGGAGAAATCTCAAGGGAGCGTCAGTTAAGAAAGCACTTGTGACTCATGGCTAGAGAAGGCTCTTCAGTTCCAACTGTAGCAGGCACATAGGCTGGATCACAAACAGAAGACACAAATGAAGAGAAAAACCTTAAGTATTTGTAATATTTACTTCGGAGACATTGGGCACAGTTTATTCTAGGTTGATGTAGACTGGTTATATGAAGGGCTTCTTTATAATGAGAAGGATCTCTTAGTTTTCTACTAATTGTAGAAATTGTTACTAATAGTAAACAGAATTTTCAAAACTGTTGCATAAATTTGGCTTTTTAAAAAAATATGGTAGAAAACCACCTGGTTAGTAATTATTATTTAAAATGCCAACAGGTTAGTTCAGAGGATCCCTATGTGACAAGTCTCTCTGTGGATGTGCCCATGAAAGAGGAACACATGGCCCCTCCTGTGAGAATACCTATAAACAGCTAGCAAAGCCACTTTAAATTGTCCCAGGTACAGAAAAGTCTAGCTTCTATTCATTATAAACTCAGAAAGATATAAAGATGCTTTTTTAAAGTGTGGGATTTTAAGATTGTCAGGTATAAAAGATTCTCATTTCTTAAGCCTAGTGTGAATATGTCTAGAAGATAAAGAACAAAATTATGATAATCAGCTCTGGAATTAGTGTAATGTATAAACCACCATTTCCACTGATAAAGTGTGTTAGGCAAGACAATGGGAATAATGTTTAACAGATTTAGTTGGTGGCATGTCAGGTGTGGCTTTGGGTTTAGGAAGCCATTGCTTTGGTGGTTTTAAGTCTGAAGGGAAAAAGGTACCCTAATCAGTGTCACAGCTAAGCTGTTGGTATGGAAATCAATGTTATTTGTATATTCTTTTCCCATTTAGATGCTAAGGCATTGGAAGTGTTGATTACCAGGCTGGGTTTCGGGTACCTCTGGCCTGCCAGTTGCTTTGGGTCTCTGAAATGGTTTGGGAACTAAAAGAAAAGGTATTAAAATTAGCATAATGGTCATGGTTGTAGCTGTCAAAAATAAGGATGCATAAGTTGAGAAACACTCTGTGAAAAGTCAATGCAGAAATAGTTCCAGGAATGGTGGAAATGCTCATTTTTGTCATTCATTTGCACCACTGGTTTCTCAGGAAGAACCATCTTTTTTTTTTTAAGATTTACTTATTTATTATTTATACAGTGTTCTGCCAGCCTGTATGCATGCACACCAGAAGGGGCACCAGATCTCAATATAGATGTTTGTGAGATACCCTGTGGTTGCTGGGAATTGAACTCATGACCTCTAAAAGAGCAATGCTTTTAACCTCTGAATCATTGCTCCAGCCCCTAGAATAACATCTTAAGAAAATGCTTAAAATGTGTCTTTGAGTCAAAGTGCTAACTATCATGTGGCTTCCTTCTTAAACCCATCATTTAAGAAGAACTAAGTATGTAAGTTTTCTGCTTTGCTGGCAACTTTCTTTTAAGCACAAAACAATAAGACAGAGAATTTTAAAGCTGATTAAGAAGGAACCTGGGAAATTACCCATAAACATCTGCTGCTAACATAAGAAGTAATGGCATGGCTACTGATGTGGGGAATTTCTTAAAATAATCAGAGACCAACTGAATTCTGAGAAGTTACAATGAAACAATTATAGGCATGACATTACCACTAAAAATAATAAGAACCATCTTGGAACTTTTAATATTCTCAAGTTGCAAAGACAACTACCATTTTTATACTGGACCCCAGAACATAATCAGTCTATGGTATCCAAACATACTGAAAACATTCTCCAATAGGAATGTGTAGTTTTTCAGAGTCCTACAGGCTTGGTGAATAAAGCAATGACATTTTAGCCACAAAACCGGACAAATGCATGCCATTTGTTTAGTCCAGGGTGGCTACAGACAGCTGTGAGGAAGAACAGATGGCTCTCTGAACACCGGGACATGGTTAAAGGAAGAAGACCAGCAGGGCAGTGGGAAGCTGTGCTCACAGCCACAGACCTTCCCTGCATTACTGCAGGAGACTGTACAGAAAGAATTCCCCAGTCTTCACGCTCTTCCCACCCACACAGGAAAGAAGGAAAGTATGGTTTACGGTATGATGGGTTGACAGAACTTCAGTCATGCCTTGGTTGGAGACCATGAAAAGAAAAGAAAAAAAAAAAAACGACAGGAAAGCAAGAGAGGATGCAGAATTACCAATTGTGGGTACCAAGAGTTCCGGTGGCACCGTGGCAGGTTCCAGAGCTAGGGAAGCAAAGCAGCAAGAACACTGGTTATACCAAGGAATGAGATCCCAAGGAGGCTAACATTGTGCCTAAAGGCAGAAGCTGTACACAAACTGTGCTATTATTTCTGAATGTAATTTCCCTTTTGCTTTTCCCATTCACCTTTTCCCTCTCGCTTTCCCACACCTCAGCTGCCCTGGGTATGTACTAGCTGTGAGACTCGAAGGATTCTTGCTTTAATAATCCACCAGGTGGGCCAGCTTTTCACACTGTGCGCTTACTAACCACTAATAGAGATGTAGATCATCATATAGCATATGAATGTAGAGAGTGAGTATACAGATGTTCAACCATACAAACCAACCATATTGTTCCCTAAAGCTCAGCTGTTTGGGGCATGGCCGCTGACAAACTAGAAGCTAAAGCACTGTATCTCTGGTCATTGGAACCCTAAGTGTTACATTTACCCGTTTGGGACTCAGGCGTTTCTGGACTACGTGTGGTTGTAGGACGGGGGCGGCGACCTGGTCGTTTGGTCTTTGGTGGAGCTAAAGAAAGGAAAAATCTCTAGTTAGCAGAGAAAGAGTGGAGCTACAAACTGAGAGGAAATGTTACACGTCACACAGTTAAACCTTTGGATTCAAGCTGGACACATTCTGTTTTGCTACTTTCTGACATCACTGCATGAAATTAGAATTTAGGTTTTTTTTTCCTTTTGATATTTTGTTCTCTCTCTCTCTCTCTCTCTCTCTCTCTCTCTCTCTCTTTCTCTTCTTTTTCCACCCATTGTTCCCTTTCTCTTCAAAGTTTTTGGTCAAAGATTTGTACATTTTCCAAGAGGTCTCCTTATTCTTTCACTTTGAGATAGGTGTTGGAAAATCTCAAAAGTAACGTGAAGTTTAGAGGAGACAGTCATACAAAGTTTCAAAGCTATACCATCAGGAGGAACACATAGAAGGCTGCTTTTCAGACACACCAAGAGTAAAATATTAAAATTTGGCTTAATATTCCAAAGCAAGAGATTTTTCTGCTCGGTGTTTACAAGAGTCCACATGTAAACAATAGGGAAAATTAATTTAGAAATTATATCAAGGGAAACATTTTGAAATGAGATTATATTCATAGGCCAGAGCTAAAGGATTTAAACATTTTAAGGATAACCAAAAACACATAAACAAGTGGAAACAGATATATATTCCATGAATGTGAATATGCCAATTGTGACCACAGCCGTTAAGAAAAAAAGAAAGGAGTCACCCACTCAGTAACTGTATGTCCAAATAATATTATTACTGTCACTTTCCCAGGGCTCTGGGTCCTGAAACCACACACAAGATTATCAAGAAGGAACCAAGTCAAGGGAAAAATGTAAAATCAACTTAAATGTGGGATATGCTCAATTTTAACTTCTCGCTTGAACAAATTCTAAGTGGTGAAATTTTATCCACACGAGAAGTAACCTCTTCTAATGAAATCAATTCCTGTGGTTTTAGACAAAATGAATAAAAATGTAGCCAGTTAAAGTTTGGAAAAAGAAATGGAAAAAAAAGGGCAGAGGCATGGGCCTTTGGAAGCTGCAGATACAACACACTAACCAGGAGCTCGTGTTGTGAAGGAAAATGTGGGCAATGGCTAGGATGGTACCAGAACGGGGATCTTTCTTTGTTTGGTTTGGTTTTAGTTTGGTTTTGCTTTTTTCTCTTTTGATGAAAAATAAAAAAGGCTATAAGGGGCTGGCTTTATTGTTCTTTTCCCTTCTTTTTTTCCACCTCCTAATGGATGATCTGGTGACACATCACAGTTTTCATATCTGGAATGATCATCACGCTTTTCAAGAAAGTCTGCAAAAGTTAGAATTTTGAAAAGTGAGAAAAAGACTCCCAGAGGGAAGCACAATTATGTCTGGGGAAGCCAGAAGTCTCCACTGGAAATAATAAGTTAGAAGAAGCTAAGGAAAATCTCCTTGAATATAAGACAGGACAATAAAGAATCTCCCGCATCCGAGGCGGTGTGGCTTTCATGGGTGTACCAGAGCTTCTATTCAGCCAAACCCAGGCACAGGGTTGATATTCTAATAGAAATCACTGAAAAAAACAAATAAGCAAACAAACATCTGAAGGACAATTAGGTATTTTCAAAGTAAAGCAAATGTAGGACCAAAGTTGAACACCAAGTGATACAGGCCACTTCTTCACGATGAGTCAAGGAAGCAATTTACCCTTTGTTGATGGTGCTGATGGTAGAGTCTCAGGTTTTGGGGCTGCAATGAAAGTAAATAATGTCAAAACAGCAGAAATTAAACATCCTTTCCCACGGGACAAGGTCACTCTCTGATGGAGGTTTGGGCTCTTCTGGCTTAGGTTGCCAAGGGCTACTCATCTCACATCCATTGTGCAAACCACAGCAAAAGCGTCAAGAATTCTCATCCGTGTCGTTCATCTTTGCTGCGGCTCTCACTACAAATATCCAATGTCTATCCTGAGGACATCTCCTTGAAGGCGTTCTGCATTCCTCACCACCTGACGTTTTGTTTCTTACAAAGCAACCACGTTTGCCTCAGGAAGTGAGACAAAGTTACATGCTTGTACTCTCTTAGTTTTGAATGGTACCCAGCTTGGCTGGACCTCATGTTCTTTCACAAAAGATAAGAATCGTAAGTGTGAAAAGGGCCACACATGCTCAGATGATTTGCCCCATGGTCACAAGCACATACTGCTAGTAAACCAAATCCTATGTTTGTTAGTGAATCATTAAGTATCCATGCATAGTCTCAGGTTTCACGAACTGCTTCATCAATTAAATGCCATCTGCAGATGGATAAACAAACCCTCTGGAGGTCAAACGAGAAGCGAAGAAGCTATGTATTTCCTCCTGGCTATTTGGTTTCATCTATTACGTTATGAAGGGAAGACAACAGGCCATTTATTTCCAGTAGGTTTTGTGCTAGTTTGCTCAAAGGAATTTTCTTTCAAGAAGAAAGTTAAAATTAATGCTTTTTTCCAAGCACAGGAAAACAGGAGAACTTTTCTTTCTTATAGAAACAAATTGATGTGGCACTCGCTGGCTTTCATCATAATGCTAATCCTTCTCTTATTTATAGCGCGGGTAGTACTTTGTCTAGAGCTAACTCTGATAATTCTGAATCGGAAGAGTAGTAGGTTTGGGAAAAGCCAGGAGTGACTTGGGGAGGGGAACGACAACAGAAGCGTTCATAGAGCAGTTTTCTAGGAACCAAATAATTTCCTTTCACAACTCAACAAGAAAGAATATGTGGCAACCGAGAGCTGTGTGGTACCGCACTGTGGATCAACACAGGAGGGTGGCCGTCCTCATTGTGTGGGAATGACAAGAGAGAGGAGGTGGCTCTGGCTTTCCAGAAATGTGCCGGGCTGTGCACATACAACTAGCCAAAACCAATGTGGAGCTGCACTGACTAAATCACCGAGAAGAAGCATCTCACATGGAAAGTGAAACAGAAAAACAGGCCGTGGAGGAGAGCTGGGCAGCCAGGCGAGTCTTCTGCTGGTGGTTTACATGCTCTCGTGAACTTCAGCTGGAAACAGAGACCTTCTACAGAGCCCAAGTAACACAAGAGTCTGTCGCTAAAGAAGCGCTCTACAGAGATGCAGCCCATACGCTCTAGCATAGTCTTGGGCCACTCAACGTCCATCCCTCTGCTGTGAGGTGTGGCTGTCAACTCCCTCAGGTGGTGATGCCGACAGTCAGAGCCGGAAAGTTTAGAAACCCAATCAACATAACCACACCAGCTTCCAAATCAAAGTTCTGGCAATAAATAAATAAATAAATAATAAACAAAATGTTTAATTAAGAAGTGTCTATTCAAACACTTAGAAGAGTAGCAACATGTCTCTAACTTCATATTTTTGAGTTAGTTCTAAAAATGTGACTTACCATGCATAAATGTCAACCAATATTTATAAGACAGTTTTTGATGCTTTCCAATCTTATTGGGAAGCTAGCAGAAATATTGAATTTGCTAACCACCTCACACAGCACCTTTTTCCCTCTGCCTGGTAGCAGCCTCCACTGAAAGTGCGGCATAAATATAAAAGTTGCTTTCTCATTGCAAACCTCCCTCAGAGTGAGTTCTGAAACACAGGATCATTAATCCCTTCCCGCTCCAGCTGGCAGTTCTTGATTTAAGCTGCTAGGACACTTGATTTTTGTACCCCGTGCTTCTCATTTGGCAACCTCAACCAAGGTCACTTACATACTTGCTCAAGCCTCCATTTCAGAGGTTAGCAACCTTTCTAATGCCCTGACCCTAAATACAGTACTTATGTTGCAGTGACCCCCAACTGCAATATTACTCTTGTTGCTACTTCATACTTGTAATTTTGCTATCTGAATTATATATGTATGAATCGTAATATCTGATATTTTACTATGGTCTTATGCGATCCCTGTGAAATAATCGTTCAACCCCCAGGTTGAGAACCACTGTTCTATTTCTGTTGATCTGACACCTCCATCTGGGCGCTACATACATTCGTTTTCTGATCCTCTGCTTTGATGTCTTTTGCCATCTTCAAAATAAATCCTGACCACTTTAGCAGAGAAGCCCTTGCTTTAGGAACTTCACTGTGTAAACATGCTAGTGATGGAAATCCAAGTTGAGAGTCCTTTACACAGCAGACTGTGGAATGCATTTTCCCCAGAGCTAAAAGTTTAACATTTATATGGTGATGACAATAAGAACTGACAAAGCTCTCCATAGCTAATTTTATAAACCAGTATCCAACACTGTTGTGTAAGTTCCAGATAAACTATAAAAGGTCAATATTGGATCATTCGGTATGAGCCACAATCCCTTCGTAGGGAACTGCTGAGAGAAGACTCCTCCTACCAAAGAACCCCATAGTCTTTAGAAAAACACCAGAAAATCTCCTGAGAAGTACACAAAAGTCAGTTTTCAAAAATCACCCCCAACTAAGAATGCTTGGCATATTGAAGAAACAGTGCTTTCTGGTCTTGTACCCGAGAACTGAGACACTCCAAACAAGCAGGGTTCTTAGGAGGCAGAACCCACTCCCGCCTCCAGCTGAAAGGCTGATATTTAGTGCATCTGGATTCCAGTCCAATTTGGTACTGGAAAGTATGTTGCAATACAGACAAGGGACCCTTGCTCACTCCCATGACTGTTTCTGTGTTTTCTGTGGGATGGTCACGAACATATTGCCTACTGCACAGCTCAGAGCAACACTAAGATAATACCAAAGGGCTGGTTGCCCTGAGGTCATCTGGTTGTGCTTTTGCACTTTTCATGGAAAAATTGCATTAGACACTAACACAGAAATCAGAACTCCCTGAAACAAAGAGTTGCATAAATCAATTTTTCCAGCATTATTTTTAGAACACTAAAAATGAGGATCAGAGAAATGATCACATTTGGTGTCACTTCTTGAATAGGAGATTTTTTAAGTTTCAACGAAATTAGTTGGGTTTTGCTGAGCTAAAAACAAATGAAATAATCAACAAATTCCTATTTTGATATAAAAAACTCAAAAGGAAAATCGAATGCTAAACTAATTCAGTAGAATGAATCTATCATCTTGGAAGGTTTTGGAAATATTCCGTTAAAAGAATATTTCATGCTCCAGGCACCGAGAACCACTTATGGACGAGAGCTCTGCTACTTTCTACCAACTACTCAAAGACCTACTTCAGTCTATGCTTTTAAGTCAGTCTAATTATTTTTCGCTCTTACTTCATATTTATTAGGCAATAAGGGTACGTTTATATTAGGCAATGATTGATAGGCATAACGCAATGATCTGAAACACAAAGAAAATCCAGAAACACCAAATTAAAAGTTACTTTTTTAAAGAACTCCTAAGTTTTTGTTTTTCAAAAAAAAAAAAATCCTGAGAACTGTATATGTAACAGAGTTTGCATCTACCAAGTGCTGGTCCTATACAGCATCTTAATCTGAGCTCAGATCTACTAACTCACAACCAAAATAGCTATAGAAACTCATGTGGTCTGTGAGATACTTTGCATTTTTCCAGATGAGCAAAGAGAACAGACAGTCACTGACAGTTTACAAAGGAGCCAGAGCACTGGCTTCCCTAGCGATCTGAAGTTATGCATATGGTATCGAGCAGGTTCAAGACTTTAAGAAATTTCACAGTATGTGTCCTTGGACTTGTAGTTCTTTTTGGTGATAGAAAGGAAAAAAATAGTTCAACGTAGAGATAGTAAAATATCTTCCAAGAAGGAACAGAGTGACCTTTCAAAATCATGCCATATTTAGTCGCTGCTCTCATAGTATGCACTGAGCAAACTTACAAGGAAAGAATTTCAAAACCATCACAAAAATACAGGTTAGAAAACTATTTTCACTACAAATGTAAGTGAAGTCTGCTTGCTGAATAATGCCCGAGCATACTGCTAAGCAACGAAAACCATCACCTCCAAGTTGATAAATTGCATGAACCCCTCAGGCTGCAATAGCTATTCTTCCCTTCCCTGTTTTCTCCACCTGAATGCTACAAACATTTTAAGACTCATGGCTTCAACTCAGTCTTTCACAAGTCCTACAGGCTGGAGTTTTATGATCTTGTGTTTCATTTCCACTATTATTACTCTCCGGGTTATAAGCAATTTGAAGGCCAGAATAGCATCCCAATAACATTCCCTTAACATTAGCATGCCCAATGGCAAAACGGAAAGTGTGGCAAGCACTGGTCCCTCAGACACTGTGCATCAATGTGAACGCACACCCAGAGTACAGTAGTTATCTCACACTGTGAGCTGTGGAGGCAGGACCTGTTTCCTGGTTTATCCCCACATCCAAGAACATTCTACTGGAGACCCCTGTTTTCTCATTTGTATTACTATTACCTATTTCAAATTTTTATAAAGAAATTGTCCTACAGAAAAATATAATTTTCTTTACTATAGAGAGATGATCATGATCTATTTGGATTTAAGTAACCTGAAAAGTTAAAGAGACATTTATTTACCAGGTTTAACTTTTGGCGTGATGGGTCTGGGGCGTCGTTTAGGTGTGGTGGGGATAGACGTAGTTTGCTGGGGAGCTGAAAGAGGAGTCAATATAGCATTGGTAAGTGATACTTCTCAAAGGTCAGTCACATGTGCCTGTAAATACAAATACACGACCCTACTGAATGCAAGAATGAGTGCATATTTTTGTTGAATTCCTGATGTCCGTGTCATGTTTTCTGCACAGTACATGCTCAATAAGCTTAAGCATTCACTGGGCCCAAAAGAATTACATTTTTATAGAGAACTTAAATTCATACTTGAGAAGAAACACTATTCAAACAAATGTACCAATGACTGAGCACCCTGGAGGCCTTCTGGATTAAGATAAATTAAGAACTCAATTAATATATTAACATCAACGGCAGGGAAAAAGCCAGTCGATATTTCAGACTTTCGAATGGGAAATTTAAAACATCTTAATCTTGGAGTTCATTTGTACCTTAGCCAGACACTAATGGCTTTTATTATTTAGATAGTTTATACGCTCTTTTGTACACCTTTCTTCAGCATATCCAGGATTTCAGGCACTACCTGATATTCGTTTTTGAACTACTGTGGATTAAACACTATTACCGTGTTCACTAGAAAGAACTATATTTAAAATAATCATCACCTATGTTTCTGCCATTCTTTTCTAGTCAACAAAGTTGAAAGCAATGAAGGAAACTACTCTTTAAAACTATCAAGGTTGTATAAATTCCTTGAGATTTATCATGAGGCTAACTATGGATAACTCTGCTCCTAGAGGCCGAATCCCATGTAGAGAAGGAAGGGAAGTATTTATGAAGAAAAGCGTGCTCAAAGGCCAATCTGGCTGATTCTTTCCTGTCGCTTTACCTGTCTTTCAAAGCGTGCACTACACAATGAAATCAGTTACCAGTTGTTGTTGGTTGCACTTCAGGACTGGTGAAGACTTCCACATTTTGAGGATCAAATGATGCTTCGCTTGAAGCTGGAAACAAAAACACCCCCATCCCACCAAGCAATGTCAGTTAAAAAATGAGGTATTTTAGGAATGTCAACATGCTTTCAAGATGGCATACTGTGCATGCTACAAGGATTTAAAAAGGAAGATACACGTTGTCCTGCAGCTAGCGGATGACACTATGATGTAAAGCAGGGGAAAGGATGCCAACTGCTCAGTACAGGCAGACTTGGTCCGTGAAAATGAGGTGATGCAAGTCATAGCTCATGGCACGAGATGATGCAAATGAGAAAGGGGCCCGTGCAACTTCTGAATATTTTCACAATGTTAAGATCGAAATCCATTTTTTCTTCTAGTATGGGAAAGTGATAGATACATAAAATGGAATATAAGATGCCTGCATAAAAATATATCATACATCTATATTCAGAAATAGAAAAGAAGTAAATGATTAGATGAAATGGAATAGAATGGTTATATTGGAAGAATGGCATCCATATGGATTATGGAGTTTTTAATGGAAATAAATAAAGCACAGAATTTCTGTTAAAAACATTACCCAGTGTTGCCTTTGGCTCTTCAGGAGTTCTAGGAGTTTTAGGTGGGACAGAGTCCAGAGTACGATCGCTTGTTGCTGCTGGAATAAACGCCAACATTTATAAAGGCAATAGAAGTTTGTAGGGATAAAATACAGAGTAAAGAAATAATGTCCCATAAAAGGAAAATATCAGCAACACTTGAGAGATCCATAGCCAATGCTTTAAGTCAGTGATTCAATAGGAATTGAAGATGCTTACTCTGCAATATCAGAACCCATAAAACAGCTTTACATATTCAACTTATTTTCAATCCCTTTTCTGCTGGTTTCTTCCCCTGTTTCATAACTGCTAATGGAACCTACTATGAGGATTCAGTTTTATTACTTCTCTTATTTTCAATGGTTTTAAATCATTTATCTTTACTTACCTTATAAATAATTCTAATATAAGACTACACGTACAAAACTAAAAACAGGCACCTATCTATGTTTGACCAGTCTGACTTTGAACTCTACAGTGCCTGGTTTAGTAGATGCTTGGTACACAATGGCAAAAAGGAGCTGATGGACTGGACTAAACCCACTGTAGATGCGTTGGTAAGTGAATGCAAAACTTAGACACACCTGCTGTGACCAACTATGTCCCTGTTTTAGCATTGGGCTCTCATATCAGCAGTACAACACTTAGGCCCCAAGAAGTCTCAGTGGTGGCAGGCTGCTGTGTGCACAGTAGTGCATCCCCAGTCTCTCTGTTCTAGATGGAATGTGCCTCCCCAGTAGTTAAGATCATTTTGTGTCTCTGTGGAATGCCAAATGCTCCCGTACAGAGGACAGATCTTAAAGCATCCCCATTGAGAATCACTACCCTACAGATCACTGTCTAGGAATACAAAAATATTCTTTAAAATGACTGTAGACAAAGAGAGCTGCAATTATTTCCCCCAGTTGTAGCCTTGTCTATCTGTTCCCTTCCCTTTTATGACAGAGTTTATTTACTGATAAAAATAAAGGAATAATCCCAAAGTGGGAAGTATGGACAGGAACTGTCTCCCTGACACAAATGGAGACAGCTACTGCCCACCATAAAACTTTAGAGAGCACACTCCTTCATTTTGCAAAAACTAAAAGGCACCCACTAAGTATACTAACACTGAGGACCCAAAGGCATCATGAGAGGCTGCATATACCTGTGTGGGGCTCTTTTGCCGTCTCATCTGAAGTTGTTGAGCTTGAGGTAAGATCGTGAGTTTCTTGAAAATAGAAAAGGTGAAAAAAAGACAAGTTAATTTTGTATGTTGCACGTTATTTCCAGACATGTTTCAGTGGTGTCTTAAGCAAAGTTTTGCACAGGCACTAGAGTTTGGAGCTGTTGACCTCCTCTCTTCCTGGTTGATAGTCCCCGCTGCTGTCTTAGCCGCAGTACTTTACATATGATGCTGGCTGGTTTTGTGTGTCAACTTGGCACTAGCTAGAGTCATAAGAGAGGAAGGAGTCTCGGTTGAGATGTCTCTCTGTGAGATCCAGTTGTAATGAATTTTCTCAATTAGTGATTGATAGTTCACTAATGAGTCCACTGTGAGTGCTTTCTTATAGAACCCAGAACCTCCATCCCCCTGATCCTGGGTTCTATAAGAAAGCAGGCTGAGCAAGTCAGGAGAAGCAAGTCAGTAAGCAGCACCCCTCCATGGCCTCTGCATCAGCTCTTGCCTCCAGGTTCCTGCCCTGCTTGAGTTCCTTCTGACTTCATCCAATGATGGACTATGATCAGGAAGTGTAAGCCAAATAAACTCTTTCCTCCCCACATTGCTTTTTGGTCATGGTGTTTTGTTGTAGCAATAGAAATTCTAACTAAGACATATGCTAAGGCCCTGGTTCCCAGAGTCCTGTAAAATTCATGCCATTTATTTATAATGAAATGATGCCAGTTATAAATCTCAGAGCTTCAACAAGCAGAAACGCAAACCTACTAGTCCCATGGCAGCTAGGGAAGAAGCTTCTAAAGGAGGAGAGTGAAGGCACATTGAGGGTACTTTTAGAATCCGTTGTTTATTCTTTCTGCTTAATAGAAGTTGCTGGCACAGCACCAGTGTCTCACGAATGAACTTCTTTAACCTTGTTCCCATCCCCGAGACGCAGGTGAGACAGGCACTGCCACCACTTTGTAGATTCCTTAGACAATGAGGTTGATTGAGGTTTACAGTAGTAAAGACAATCGCCCATGCTCACGTGGGAGAACTGGTGACTTAGTGATTTTCAGCCTAATCCACAGCTAAGGACAACAGGGCTAAGATCAGAGCATTCTTGGCACCAGCCCTCTTGGTCTTATTTAGAGGCAACTTTCGACGTTCCTCCATGGAGTCATGACCCCTTCTATAAGGTAGGTAGGTAGGCTTGAAGGTAATTTTATATTTGGAAAAATATAAAATTTAAAATTATAAAAATATAAAATATAAAATTTTATATAAAAGGAAAAACGTGTGATGAATTAAAAAATAACTTTCAATGTAGGGATAAATTTCATGTTCACATAAAAGATGAACTTGCAAGTAAAAATAGTATTAAAATCTCTTTGCACGCAAAGAACTCACTGTAGGAATAAAAGGGAAAAAGCAGAAACTAAAGGTAGACTCTGTTTATTTGGGGCATTCAAATTGGTTTATAGAAAATATAATAAAATGGGGGGCTGGAGAGATGGCTCAGCTGTTAAGAGCACTGCCTGCTCTTCCAAAGGTCCTGAGTTCAATTCCCAGCAACCACATGGTGGCTCACAACCATCTGTAATGAGGTCTGGTGCCCTCTTCTGGCCTGCAGGATACAGACAGAATATTGTATACATAATAAACAAATAAACAAACAAATAAATAAATAAATAAAAAATACTTAAAAAAGAAAATATAATAAAATGGTGGTAACACACAGGAGGATTATTCATTTGGTTATGTATAATCTGATGATAATTTACTGATGGGAAACCAGTGCTGGTTGAAGCCATAAGATGGTATTAGATGGTGAGAGAGAGAGTCTCAAAGAAGAGGAAAGCTCGTGTTATCCCACAAGAGACAGGAGATGTGTGTAATTTGTGAAGGTAAATCTACAAAGGCCTCAAAAATAGGCTATCCATCCTTATACTAAAAATCGGCGCATATTGTGAGAATCTTCTCACATGACGACCTTGTGTTTTATTGCAAAGTTAGCCTAGTTGTGACTTTAAAGGCCCCCGTGGGAGTGACTATCCTTTAAAAGGATGAAAATGCTGCCAGTTTCTAGCCCTTGGTCTGCCTTAGGCTCATCATGGACCTGGCGATATCGGCTCTGCCCACCTCTGAGTAAGTTAGGAGAGGCTACCAACTTTATGTATTCCTCTCTTGTCATGAATTATTAATTACTACCTTGACTTTATAGTCATGCCTCTGAAAAAATGCCATGGCTGCATTTATGTTAACTCCCAAATCTCCTTTCCCTCTAGTGATGTTACATCCTATTTTTCTGTATTATGTTTCAAGTGGTATTTATTAATTAACTCTATTTCTCACATTTACACTCTGAGGTTCAAAACCAGGCTGACACCTTCTCACCTAAGTTCTTACTACAGGCATTCATAGGGAATAGAACACTTTACAATCCTCCAGCAATTATGGGTCGGGTCTGTAAATTCCCATTTGTTAGGAACCTCTTACTTTCAAATATTTTTCTTGAACATACTTGGGATTCAAATCACACATCTGTCAGAGTAGTTGGTCTCTATAAGTTTCTGCTTCCACACTTTCTGGGAGTTGAGTGGTAAAGAAAAGGAAACTAAGAAGGAGCCACTCACTAGAAGTTTTTTGCTGCGTGGACAGCTTTCGTAGGCAACCACCTCTGGTTGCTGCCAAAGTCAGTCTTCTGACTCGGAAGAGGCACATGTCAGAGAAGAGTTCTCTGAAAAACTCTTTCAATTGCGAGTTCCTGGTTTCCTTACAAAAACTTTGGCATCTAAAAGTTCTTGACAAAACTTTATGTTTAAACCTGAGTTGATTTCACTAAATTGCTCAGCCTGTTTCTAACAAACTATTTTAGACATAAAACTGATAAACAGTCCCAGAGCCATGTGTGAGAGCTACTGTCTGTCAGACAGTCTATATGCAACCATGCCTTGCTGCTAGTCACTGGCTGAAGTGGATAAAAGCTTTGATCTTTAATTCATAGAGTCCACGTGAGACCGAAGTTGAAGAAGGGAATTAATTTGACAGGTAAAATGAGAAGCACAACTCAAAGCTATAAAAAAAAGCAAAAATAAAAAGTCATAATTATACAAAATATTACTTTCAGATATTCCAGAAAAATATATACACTTGTAAGACCAGTTGTTAATTTTTATTTGCTGTATGTTTTTATTTTGAAAACCTAATTATATGTAAATACCAACATAAAAATGCCTTGGTCGAGTCATGTGATAGTACACAAAGGACTTCAAATAGCAACATTTTATTTTGCTTGGATTTCCTGAATATTGTAGCCATATGAAAAATTTTCCTTTTCAAACAATTTTTTGTGGATGAAACATTTTATTAGGGAGAGACTCTGTCACAGCTATTTTGTCCTGCAGGGTGTATGTCCTCTAAATCCTGATACATGGTAAATCCACAGTAGGATTAATCTGAAAATGCTCATTTCCACAGAGTAATTGGAAGATCTTAAAAAGAACAACGACTTTCTAGTTTAGATGCGGGAGTGGGAGGAGAAGCATGTCCTTCTCTCATTTACTTATTGTGTGTGTCTGTGTGTGTATGTGTGTATGTGTGCACATGCAAATGCATGTCTAAGTATCTGCTACCCAGTCTTGCTCCTGGTTTGTACAACCATGGAAACAGAATTCTAACAGCAATACACAGAAGCAATGAAGGGTACAGCACACAGCTAGGAAAGTGCCACAGAGTCTCTGTACTATTTAAGTACAAATGATACTTTCTTGAGTTAACACCACTCTGGTTGACCTTCAAATCTGTGAAATAAAATGAAAGGTTTGAGCCCATAAACCTCTAAGAGGCCACAGTGAAAAAGAAAATCATCTGCTATGCTTGAATCTATTCTCTTGCCTTTGAAGTATCAACACCACTTGTTCCTACTTTTTATCCTTTCTAGGGTATAATTGGGTTTGGTGAGCCAGATCTGAATTAATCAACACCTCATAGATTAGGCAGTAAGGTCCAAATACAGAGGTTATCTCTTTTCAACAAAGATCTTTAAGATCTCTAAAATAAACTATGGTATAAACTATTCACCTCATATACCCCTCCTTGTGTAAGCTGAACCATGTAGTTTACAAAGTCAAACTATGTGACACAAGTTTCTGTAATTCCACAAAATACTGAGAGAATTCAACACTGCAAATTGTGAACACTGATCTCTTAAAGAAAGTTCCAGAGTGGAGTACAACGAAAAGATGGAGGATGACCATACTCAATTCTGACATTGTCAAGGCAAGACTCTAAAATACATGGGATCTTTGGTGTTTTTTTTCCACTTTTTTAAAATTGATTTTTATTGAGCTCTACATTTTTCTCTGCTCCCCTCCCTGAGTCTCCTCTCCCCACTTCAACCCTCCCCCAAGGTCCCCATGTTCCCAATTTACTCAGGAGATCTTGTGTTTTTATACTTTCTACTTCCCATGTAGATTAGATCTATGTAAGTATCTCTTAGTGTCCTCATTGTTGTCTAAGTTCTCTGGAAAAACAGAATGATATCCATCACCATGCACAAAACTCAAGTCCAAATGAATCATAGTCCTCAACATAAAGCTAGCCACACTGAACCTTATAGAAGAGAAAGTGGAAAGTACACTTGAACACATTGGCACAGAAGACCACTTCTTGGATATATAACCCCAGCAGCACAGACACTGAGAGAAACAATTAATAAATGGGACCTCCTGAAACTGAAAAGTTTCTGTAAAGCAAGGATATGGTCAACAAGACAAAACGACAGCCTACAGAATGGGAAAAGATCTTCACTAACCCCACCTCAGACAGAGCTCTGATCTCCAAAATACACAAAGAACTCAAGAAATTGGTCATCAAAAGAACACATAATCCAATTTTAAAAAATGGAGTACAGACCTAAACAGAGAACTCTCAATATGAGGTCTTTTTAATAAGTCTCAATATATTAAGGGTAGGAGGCTCAGTTGTTTGAACATCTTGGGACAAGGACAGACAGAAGTTTTTCTAATGTGGAACTCAAATGCTTTGAATTACTCTTGGTTTATGGCCATCTTCTTCCTTTGATTCTGATCCTTCATGGTTCTAAATAATAGTCTTTTATGGAATGTTAAAGTAAATTAAAGAAGCTCAATACTTATGGTACTATCAAGGGGTAAACAGAAAGTTCCTATCTATGAACTTTGTATCACGTTAGGATGTTAGACATCATGCACACGCCTGTTTGTGGGTTTATGCTCTGTTTCTGGCTCTGTTGCCCCTGGAAAACACAGACGCTTGACCTGGACATCATTGTATTCACAGAGTCTATGCAAGTCCTTGGGGCACGCTCACAGAGGAATTCAGGTTAGCACACTGACTGAACAAAGAACATGTCATCCTCTGTTGTGAAACCCTGTTCCCCAAATTCCAAAGCATGCTGCATGGCCATTCTTTCACACTTCAATTGGAGGGACTCCCTGGAGTGATTCTGAGAGAAATCAGTGAGTCTGTTTGCTTGGTACCCACTCCTGATGTACACTCCTCATGCATCTCCTTCCTATAAAAGGAACTAACCATGCCAAAGGACTTCAGAAATGTGCATATGGCACGAGGCTCACAGTGAGTTTTATAGAGAATGTTGATGGGGAAATTATGTAGGTCTAATGGAGGAAGGATCCAACAGTATGTGGGTCCCATGAACATAAACGCCCAGTCTATCAGGTGCTAGAAGGTACTGCACACTTCTCCAGAACTCCTACTGTGACAACACTTGGATTGCAGCAGACTGGCCAACATCCAATAGAACACAAGACTAACTCCCTTGCATCGCTAGAAAGACAGATTTCACCCTGAGTAACTGTCACAAACACTAAAGTACTTCTAAGATCTGGCCAGTTTCCTTTAAACACAGAACCTATAAGTAATTTTACATCCTGGTATGCGATTATAGAGCACATTTTTTATAATTTCCTTTATATACTTTATGGAAAATTAAATTTGCCAAGGAAATCAAGCTAAATCAACCCTAGTTAGCATACATTACAGAAGGCTATATAAAATGCAATTCCAGATAATAAAATCTCAATGTACTAGTGAAAAATTAGGGCAAGCAGACTGAGAGTGGGGAAGAAGATATTAAATGGTTATGTATCTCATATATCTTACAATGCTCCAAACCCCAAATATCCTGTTACTTCTTTGCCAAAAATGATTGAAATAACTCCTTTCTATAACCATGCAAGCTAGAACTCTCAATTGTCCTTTATATCTCAAACCTGGTATGGAAGTCTTTATGAGAACACTCATTCCGCAGTTTTCATAGGGAGTGTAAAAGTGGCAAAATTTCCAGTAAGTTTCCAAGCTAAATTAATCTTTGAAAAGAAACACATATCCCATTTGATGACTGATCAAGCAGCCCCAACCATCCAGGAGTTGGCCCGTGGTTTTCCCCTGCTGAATGTCAGCAGTTTCAAAGGACACTAATGTTAAATGAGGCTTGTTCTGTCATGACAATAGATCAAGACAAAGTCAAATGATGCTATCTATTAAAACCAAAGAGGACACAGCTTAATACATGCACAAATATACCCCAAATTTCAAAATAGGAAAGGTTCAAATGAATGGAAGAATAAACATACCAACTACTGGAGAGCACAAATATGTCAGTTCCTGAATGTGTAAACTCTTGAGATTACAAATAACCTACTTTTTATTTTCATTTGAAATTTAACATAAATTGGGATGGCCCACGGAGTATCTAAACTAATGCTGAGAAAGATGCATTCTTGCACGTTAGCAGAAACAAGAGAAGCAAACGTATCACTAGCTGCCATAAACTACATTGATGATTAGTAACAGGACCTACATAAGTAAAGACAGAAGATGGTCTGACTTGTTTAAGAAAGGTAGTTACCAGTTTGAGGCTGTACAAACTTGGAATCTTCAGATGTCTTAGCTCCAGGTGCCACCCACGGCTCTTCACTTGAAGCTATATTAGAGAGAGACAGAAGCAGTTGAATGTTTTACGGCAGAAATGGTTAAGTGACTAGAAAAGCCTATACAGCAAAGCTCATATGGGCCAATCAAGAGTCATCATACACTCAGCAGTCAATGTGCATATGATTATTCAGAAACCAGCTAGGTTGTGTAAAATTAACAGGAATGATTTTTAATGAAGGTGTAGGAAATCTAATCAAGTAATATTTTTATTTTCCTTTTTCAACCTACCAACTACTGATTTCCCTTAATTCATCCACTGCGTTAGTGCATTTAGCTTTACTGAGAAGGGACTCACTCTGCACATGTGTTCTACAGAACTGCACAGTCAGCACCCACTTTATGTGATGCTGGTGATCAGCCCCATGCCCTCACACATGCCAGGCAAGCGCCTGTCACTGGGTTACGTCTTCTGCGTGTCATGCGTATTCTTCACACCAAACAGCCCTTTTATTTACCCAAGGTATCCTCTGGTTTCTCCAAAGGGAAGTCTAGTTTTGCCTCAGGAAACTCTGGGAACCTTTTTGGGGCTGGAGTAAAACACACAGGATAGTTAGGACAAGTGCATGTAACAGGACAAAAAAGGTTTGAAAAATTTGAAAGTTGCAAAAACAACAGATACAAGATAAAAATCACTGCATGTCAAACAAATACTCAGTGGTTCCTTTTAGTAATGTTTCAACTAAAGGTAATTGTGCTTGAGAGATCATGTAGTCCAGTCTTGGATTTCACAGTACCTTCCTGTCTGTGCTTTTTATGTTCCCTTATTACAGCACGGGCCACCATGCCCGGTATAAAATTCCCTTTTGGGCATTTTATAATCAAGTCACTAAATGAGGTATTTAGGCTCTTCCATCTATATTTTCTAGTTTCTTGAGTTTTCCAACTACATTCATTTATGTAATTAAGTATATTTCTTTTAATTCAAAGTACTAAGCACATTGAATTAGAAAATATCTGCACAAGAACTTTAAAAATCATAACGCAACTACACAACTCTCTAAATATGCTCCTCCATTCTTTGATACTTCATTCAAAAAGAAATTCTAACAATCCTAAGGAATCTATAGAAATCTCTAACAAGCCTTGTCTATCAAGATGAGGCTGTGAGTGAACAAAAGCACAGAAGACAAAAACAGAAGATATCACTGTGTTCAGTCACATAGGATTTTGGTGAAAAGAATAAACTAGAATAACAACAACAACAAATACACAATCAACACCAAGAAAAGTTACTGGTGGTTTTGTCACAGGGAAGGCCTCTTTAGGGACCTAGTTTATGAAGGTTGTATAAAAATCATACTGAGGACTTTAGAGTTTATTGTTCACCGGGCAGTGATGGTGCATGCCTTTAATCCCAGAATTTGGGAGGCAAAGGCACTCGAATTTCTGTGAGTTCAAGGCCAGCCTGGTCTACAGAGTGAATTCCAGGACAGGCTCCAAAGCTACAGAGAAACCCAATCTAAAAAAAGAAAAAGAAAAAGAAAGAAAAAAAGAAAAGGGAAAAGGTTCATTGTTCTGCATTATTTGTCAACCTCATTCTTTTCTTATAAGGAGATTGATTTGAATAAAGTTGCCTCCAAGGATTTCTATTAGCCATACATAATATTCTCAAAGTAGGATTTGTTGATGCTTCAGTGTTCAATGACTTTTACCTAGAGTGCTCAAAGGCAATTCAGACTCAGGTATTAGAACTGAATGTGCTGTTTCTGGGGTCTTCTCACTGAGGTCTACAATAAAGAAGAATATGGTTAGCAACATGATGGCTTGGCATAACCCTCACCAGAATGCTTCAAACTGACTCGCGTGCAATGAGCAATCTAAGCCTCTTCCAGCAGTCAGCCTGGGAGAGAGCTGGCTCTCCCAGGAAAAGTCACATAGCTGTTAAAACGGAGGGTGTCTTTTAGGTCATTGTCACACATGCACAACACAATACAAGCTGTTCCATTTCTTGAAGGGAAGAGAACAAACAAGAAAGGCACGATAGAGTCTTTCGGGCGAAACAGCAGTTAACATGAGCAACTGAAATTCTCATTAAATAGCAAGTCTCTTGGTGATTCTTCCCAAATTCAGTTGGCACAAGACTTTCCATAGCTGATGTGGACAAATCCCAGAGAGAGCCAAGATTTCCAGCAGCTCTGGAGGCTGAAATGCATGAACCCAACACAGAAGAGGGGTCAAAGGGGCATGCAGTTAGTGTTTTATCCACATCTGTGTTTGTGGTTGGTCACCAGTACCAAGGCATGGTGCTAACTCATCAGCAGAACATATCCAACAGACAGGAAGGTTAGATCCCAGAAAAAGAAAAGAACAAAGAAGGGAGGGTGGAGGATAAAGGAGGGGAAAGACAGGATAAAGGATGGGGAAGGCAGGATAAAGGAGGGGGAAGGCAGGATAATCCAGGATTTTAAACCATGAGTGCCGAAGGTTGTCATCATTGCTGTCTGTTAGTTTAAGGAGGAAAGTAGTTCTCAGTATTACCCAGTGCCGTTTCTGCTGTGTCTAAGGCACTAGACACTGTGGGCTTAATGCTTCTTGAAACTGTTTCTGGAGTCACTGAAAAGTAAAACATAGAAACAACTGTATGAGCTGAGAGATAAAATAAGGATGCAACCCAGGCATGACCCGTCTTTCCAAGTTCCTAGGGTGAACCTACTTGTCCTAGGTGCCTGCCTGCCTCTCCTTCCTGATCCATCCTTTCTACTTTGGGTTACTTTCTAAGTATCCCACAGAAGCATACCCAACTCCTCTCTATGAGATCATTTCTCATGGCAATCTGAGTGTTTTGTCTTCTTTCTTCATTACCTCCACAGCTTTGCAAGGGGCCTATAGTAAGTAGGCTTACAGTGACATACTGGAGTTAATGAGCAAGCAGAAACATAAGAGGGCGGGGCTAAACAACTAGCACATTACTAGATTTCCTCTAAACACCACAAACAACCAAGAGAGCTAGGATCCAGGCTGGAACTGTAATCGGTGTTCAAATATTCAGCCCCAGGGTGGGTTGTCTCAGCTGCTCCATTAAAGGCAATGAAGACTTTGGGTAGAAGATTTGGAGAAATATGAACCATGATTACTAAGATTTAAAAATTCTACAAAACCCTAGAATTTTGCAGCAAGGACACACACTCATGATACTGAATAATATGTGGTGGGGATTGCCCAAGTATTTCTGAAGTGGAAAATTCTGAGGAGGGCTTGGCAGAAAGTTGGGAAAGCTGTAGACTCTCATCAGACATTCTGCCAAGTGAAGAAAGTGTGAGTTGGAAAGCCGGGCAGAAGGTTTGACACAGAAATGGATTCATTTCCCCACTGCTCATTTAACTGAGCGCACTTTTCTCTACATTAACTGAGCGCGGCAAAGTTACCAAACAAAACACTACCTTGTAATATCACTCGACTGGAGGCTGCTAGCAGCTCAAACAGCTTCCGCCTGTCTTAAAAAGGCCCACTTCTTGTTAAGACAAGACCATATCCATTCTGTCAATACATTCTTGAAGAAGCTCAGTCTGCTTCTTCAAGTTGTTTGTTATGGCACCAATCCTATCCTCTCTCAACCAGACATAAGTCCCAAAATTTAGTGAACATAGAATACCACAAAGACCCCAAGCTACAGGAATGTTGTGAATCAAAAGGTTCACTTTTGATGGGAGCTCTTTAACTAATGGCGAGTTGCAGGGAGTGTTTGCCACTTGTCTGTGTCATCAACTCCTGGAGAAGGTGGCACTACACTGGCAAAATCTCACTCCTTCCAAGACAAATGTTTCCCCAGAGAATTAAGCTGGGCTGACTTATGTGGAGAACAGATGCTGTGTGTTTGGTAGTAACAACGATAAACTATGGAGACACTACTTACCGCATGTTTCTTCAGTTTTTTTTTTTTAAACCAAACTACTGCATATTCTCTATATTAGGGGTATTAATCTGTAGGGACATTTGTTTCTAAATTATTTCAATACATTTTCATCACTATCAAGTTAGGGATTTATGATGGGTATAAGATATTTTGCTATACCCATCACTTGTGAAGGTAACTGGGCAATGAAGAATGGTCCACAGTATTCATACACAAGGAAAGGCCATGAACAAGGCATGACCTTTAGTTAAACTGCCTCAGTGTTGATGGCATCTTCAATCATTGTCAAAAGCACACTGATCTTCCATGCTACATGTCATGTCCATCATCCAGTCGCTCGATTTTCATCTGTTCTTTCCCAAAGGGTAAAGCCCTAGAATTTCCTACTGTTTTATGCTTATGATCAAAATCAATTTCTTTTTTGTTCTTTGTTTTAAAAAAAATGGGTTTGTAGTTCAATTCACTATTTGAAACACAGCTACTTTCTTTCTCAGTAGCATCATAGGAATTTCATTACCTGTTACTGGCTGGGCTTCAACTTTTTCAACTTCTGGCGTTTTAGATTCTGCTGCTAATGTAAACGTTTCATTCTTAGCTGAAAAAAGAAAAAAACAGTGCTTTATTTCTTTGTAGTACAGTGTCCAAATTTACTTATTTCAAACATAGTCTACCACATTTTTTATTGATTTAACTTGTTATTTTGTGTGTATGAGCCTGCCTGTATGTATGAGTACCATGAGTGTGTCTGGTGCCCACCAAGGTCTGAAAGGGGACTGGAGTTGGAGATGGTTGTGAGAATGGTGCTAGGGGTCAAACCAGGGTCTTCTGTAGTTATCAACAAGTGCTCTCAATCACTGAGCAAACTCTCCAAAATATCAACATGCATCTCTTCCTACCAGCCAGTCAACTTAAGAGTCCATCCCTCTCAAGGCTAGTATAAATAGAAGACAGACTTCAAAATTCTTCTCTATTAATCCAAGAAATTCTGTAAGATCTTCATTGGTACAAGAGTGACAAAATCACAATATAACACTTGAACAAATCTCATCAATTTAAAGTTTCTGTAAGGCAAAGTTGGACCTGTACGTGTTTCTTGATTTTTATTCAGCACAAATAATTTTTTAAAAGTCAATGGAGAATTTCTTTTATTAAAGATGATTTAAAAATTCTGATAGGTTAATATACTGAAAATTTTGAAATCCACAAATAAGATAGATAAGAAAGTATGCTATTTGGATACATTTGTAGCAAAACAAACTTTGACAACCAAGGGATTTTATTAAAAACACGTGTTAACATATCTTCTCTTTTGGTCTCTGGGAATTTGGTGCAAAATTGAGGGTTTTCTCTCTTTATGCAACTTTTGGGAAACCTTGCTTCTAAAACTTAGGTGTTTTTTTTCAAAGAGAACACTTCTAAATCAGAATTGCCCAACCTCTGGGAAAGATATTCTCTCAGATTTTAAACTGGAAATATCTCCAAACATTTCCTGAAATTCCCTGGGACACACTCATCCCCAGCAGAAAACTGATCTACTCTGTGTTCTCATTTTTTTTTTTTTGAGAATGTGAATTTTGTAACCAGCTATAGCCAGCATCACTTGTGTGGAGGCCATTTGCTGCTTTTCATTTAGTCTGGATACAAAATGCGCTTACTTCTTACAGCCTTGAAAGCAATTAGACAGCAGGCAGATGTCGACTTTGGGAGTGCGCACTTCAGTGGACAAGGTACAGTGTGCTGGCCTCCACTGTCAAGCCAGTGTGGAGGACTGCATAGCATGCTGACATGACAGAAATAGTCAAAACTGTTCAGGTCTAGTTAAGGAGCAAGAGCTCTTTCTGTAATGACCAAGCATACACACCTAATATTGTATGAAAATCCTTTGAAAATTTCTAAAATTTACTAAGATTTTCTTTCTGGACATCTTTTATAGCCACAGCTTCAACTTAGAACCATTCTGGTTGTTAGCAAGTGAAGAATAATTCTGCCCACAAGCTTCTCATGAGCTCTGTGCCTATTACTTTTAGTACACCTCAGGAAGATGAACGCTTCACATGGAAAGTGCAAGGTCCCCATCACCTTGTGCTCCCAACTCCATCAGAGCAATTTGTTACTCTTTCCCTTTTCACCTAGTAATATCCTATGTCTTGGTTTTGGTAACTTCTGCCTGGTTAGGAAACCTCTCGAACTTCAGAACTTTGTCTCTATATGCCTGTGTTTCCATGTCTCTTTCTGTCTGTCTGTCTTCCCCCTCCCTCCCTCTTCCTCTCCCTCTCCGTCCCGCCTCCTCTCTCTCTCTCTCTCTCTCTCTCTCTCTCTCTCTCTCTCTCTCTCTGTATCTCCCTTGCAGTTCTCCCTCCCCCAAGACCTTAGACTCAGTAGGGGACAACAAACTGGATTGCTTCAGGTTCTTAGATTCAATAGTTGCCTTCAATTGCCAATCACATTAACCTAAAATGCAATTACAAATGGGGAAACATGACAAACTATCTTCTCAAGATATATTTATATCTTCACACAATTTCTTATCAAGGTATATAGTGTTTCTAAATATGAGACACCAGATATCAGAGTAGTTAGAAGATGGGGAATATATTTAAATGAGAGTTCTGATATCACTTTCCAACCCATGAGCATTTGTTTACACTTTACACACCTGCTATCTTGACAGAGTAAAACACCATCCAAATATAGCCTAAACCTCAGTAAATTTTTTTTCTCCATTTTTCTTTCATACTATTTTCAACTCTGTTGTTTCTCTTAATATTTGGCAGGTATGTCCTAGCTTTGGCAAGCCCTTTGCAAGTCCTTTGGAGATGAGTGTGTGCACCGCTAGCTTTCTTGTTCTTTTATTCACTCTGTGTGTCCTTAGAACAAAAGCTATTGCATTTCTTGGTGGCCCATGATTGTCTCTGCTGCAATGGGGTTATTATTCTTTTGATTAACTGCCTCAAAAAATATGACTTTTCTTAATTGCAGTAATAACTATCATTGGGAAGTTTATTTCTCCCTTGGTAGCATAAAAAGTGTTTATGCCTACACAACTTTTCGGAAAAAAAGGTGTTCTGCAGAGCAAAATAATTAATCAATAAAATGAATAGAAGCCTACAAATTGGAAGAAAACATCTTAAAGTCATGTTTCACATACAGACTCAATGTCTAAAATACATAAAGAACTCCCACCACACTCTATAGCACAACAGGATGATTCTGACTGACAGCAATTAATGTGACATTTCAAGATAACTAGTAGAGGAAAGTTAAAATACCACCAATGCAAAGATATTGCATACATCTGAAGTGGTAAATATGCCAATTATCCTGAACTCATCCTTACACTTTATATATCTATATTGAACTATAAATCATAATTATATTTAATCACCATCAACTAAAAGCAAAATAAGACTTGATATTCTTAAACTACTAGATGATAAAGAAAGACCGTCAACGTCTAGGCATAGATAGGCATGTTTAAAATAGGACTCCACAGTAAATAAAATCAACAAATGCAGTCTCAGAAAACCCAGACACCTTTGTACTGCAAAGAAAACCATAACCCTATGAAGGGGTAGCCCATAGCATATGAGAAAGTACTTTTGAGCTATACATCTGATAGGGAATCAGTGTCTAGAATACATAAGAAACTGGAAAAAACAACAACAAAACTAAACATTAAGAAAACAGGCCAAGCAAAAATGGGCTAAACGGAGTTCTCAAAAGGAGAAACATGGGTGCTATTTGTAAACTGCTTCATAACCAGTTTAAGAGGCACTCAAAACCAGCTAAGGAGATGGCTCAGTGGTACAACACTTGTCACATAATGCTAAAGACTTCAGATCCCTGAAACCTGCTAAATTCCAAGTGGGCATGCATGGAGCCCATCTATCATTTTAGCCTCAGAAGGCAAAAACATAGAATTCCCAGAACAAGATGCCTCACAAGACTAACCACAACAATAAGCTTATATTTGATTAAGAAACCCAATCTCATTGAGCAACAGGAAGAGTAATCCAAGTTGATTTCCACATCAACCTCAGGCCTCCACATGTACACATGTACACGCACACATACATACACACATGTGCACATGCAAGCATAAATACTTAAACACATGCACAGTATATACATATACATGGAAATGGAAAAATATTCCACATCATTAGTCATCAATGATGCACATTAAAACTATCCTAAGATTCTATCTGCTTCAGTCAGAATGGCCATCATCTATGTTTCAGATCTATGACAAAAGAGACAACTTTGAGCTCAATTTGATAGTCAAATATAACAATTAGAATTATTTTCTCTTTGAAGGAGATTTTACTAGTGTTATCTTTTTTCACTTTTTTATTTTATTTTTTTTTCAAAAAGAAAGCAAATTATCATTTTTCATTTTATATACCAATCCCAGTTCCCACTCCCTCCCCTCTTCCCATTCCCTCTACCTTGCCCCAACTTCACTCCCCATCCACTTCACAGAGAGGGAAAAGCACATTGTTCCAAGGAAGGACCAAGGCCCTCCCCCACTATATCCAGGCTGAGCAAGTTACCCATGCAAAGAGAATGGGTTTCAAAAGGCCAGCACAAGTAACAGGGACAAATCCTGTTGCCACTGCCAGGGGCCCTGGCTAATGCTTTCTTGATTACACAGACTTTTCCCAATTCTTTCTAGAAGAAGACAGCAATACCAGACTCTAGCGTATTCTCATTCTAATGTCCCTTTAAATATGCTCTTATGGAAAATATCTAATGGTCCCTTATAACAAACTTCGAAGACTATAATTTAAGAAAAGTTCCCTACTTGAAAATTATACCTATTCAAATGAGTACCTTTCAGATACTGACACCTATTTTTCCTTCACATGTGCAGGTACATGTATTAAATAGCTTTCCATACAAAATGGTTGATACTAATGTCTCTGACCCTCCAGCCTCTTCTTCATACTCATTATTTTGTCCTCAAATGTCTCATCCGCAATATTCCTCACATCATCTCAGGGCTGGGTTATCCAGTGCTACTTCTCACGGAAAAGCCCCTGCTTACCTAATTGTGCCTTGAGAGCATCCGAAATCTCAAGCATTATGGATGTGGGAAGTTTTACTGTGGAATCATTAAGACCCGGAATAATAAGATGAACTGCAAGGAAATAGATATAAATGTAAGAGGAAGAAAATGTACCAGACAAAATCAAATAATGGAGAATTATAAAGTAGAATTCAAAGATTGGCCCTTCCCTTCCTTTGGTTAACTTTAGCTCCACATTGGAAATCTTGGCAAAATTCGACAGCGCCTTTTTAAATAGGTATCTTCCACATCTAGAACTTATTACCAGAAATCCTCAGAGCTTGCCCTCACAGGCTCAAAGCCTCTGCATGGGCTACAGCCAAGACAAAGGCAGTGTGTCTTGGTTGGTAGCTTAGACTGGGCACAAGTCAAGAAATTAAACAGGAAATGAAATGGACTGACACTCACTTTAGTACACTTGCTCACAGGACACATCCGCGCAAGGACTCTCTCATCAAAAGATACCCTAGACTGTCTATCCTATATATTACATTTCACGACTGACTTACCTAGTATTGTTCCTCCAAAGGGAGTCTTCTCTGGGGCTTTCGTTGAAGCCCTGTGGGTAACATTCTGAATCACTGGTGAGATATAAGAAAACAATAGTGTAATGGGAATGAACATGGAAACCAATAAAAAGTTAATACCTTGTGCAGTATTAACCAAAATTTATCAGTGAACAGAAGCAATTCAGTGGATTAGCTACAGAATCAACAGAAGAATCTGATATGCCTCTCTTTACCATCCATGCTTTGGGGGTAACAAAGCATCTCTTTATCACTCTCCCATAAGTATCCCATCCTAAGCAGTGGAAAATCCCATCTGTCTCTACTCCCTATGCATCCCGCCCTTTCCAAAAAAGCAATTAAGAACTAGCATACAATACTGCAATAACAAGATAATAAAAACTAGAAACCATAAGCCAGGTTGTGGTGGCATATGCCTTAAATCCTAGCACTGAGGAGGCAGAGGCAGGTGGATCTCCATGCATTCAAGGGCAGCCTGTCTACAGAGTCAGTTCCAGGGCAGTCACAGAGAAACCCTGCCTTGGAAAAAAAAATAGATTAAAAAGCATATATCTTCAAATCGAAGAATCTTTCAGTGACTTCAGCAGTAAGTGACCATGACTTTAGTGTATACTTAGGACACTGTGGTTCCTTAAAATGAACTATTTTAAGGTTTTAGCTCTTCTACCTAAAGATTTTTCTGGAAATAATGGGGTCATTTTAATAATTTGAAAACTGGAAGTCAAAACAAAATAACTGGACACAGAAATGAAATACAACACTTTAGTTTTTAAAATGTGGACATCTTTATTTCCCCTAAGTGACCACTAAATCACAGTTTGCATTCTAAGTATCCTAAATGGTCTCCTAATTGTCTTCCTCCTGTGGGCGAACTTAATTCTAAGTAAAGCTCCAAAGTAAAGCCCAACATGTTTAACTGATTATTTTTAATGTGACACATGGTACAACTACTTTGTTGCCTAAATGGTAAGATTTGTCCAAGGCTTTTCACATTGGTAACAGCCCAAAGTATGCATTAACCATGAGTTAACTAACTTACACTAGTTTCTTCGAATGCTTTTCAAATGCCATTGTAAGAATTGAGAAAACAATCACTGTGTGTTCAACTAAGCAGCCGACTACAGCATTGCTGAATACAGCAGATTAATTACCTTGCTTGATGATTGTTATTGGGATTAGCTTCCTCGGGACATATGCTGGCTGCAGAGAGAGAGGAGGTCAGTTTTTACATCACTGTTAATTAAAAATGAATCAGAATTCTGAGAGGAGTCCTTTTATGTCTTTAATGAAGTCACCCATGACAGGGCTTTAGCAGTCACTGGATAGATTTTTCAGCACATACGTCTCCAGTGCACTGAACTCATTTGTTTACCCCGTAAAGAGCCAAAACCTCACAGAGGCAAGTCTTCAGAACTCTCATTTACTTAGAAATTGCAGTTGAAAGGAACTAAATCCTCTGTAGAGGGATAGAGTTCATTTCTGTTTTGTTTGCCATGTGGCCCAACCAAGAACTGTCTTCACATTATCTTTAAACCAATCAAAGTCTGACTATTTGAGCATGACCTACTGGTGCTGCCATTATTGCTCATACTACAATCACCATGAACTCTTAGCATCATCATTTATTGCCTAAGAGAGAATAATAGGTGCTCAGAACTAGATATTTCTTAAAATTGAAAGTGTACTTAATCGCCCTGCACTGATCTATAAATGAGGGATTCCCAATTTGAAGATGATGAGTGACCTACAGGATGCCATGGATGATTTGTCTCTCCTTCGCCCCAACTGTCTCTGAAATCTGGGATGTTTTGATATCATACAGTGCCTAGGGACAGGCTTAGACTTTAAAGTGGAATCACTGCCAGGCACAATCACATGGCCAAAGGTGGAAAAGATGAGAGAGGTGTGAAAAGAGGTGATGAGAACGGCAGAGAGTTCAAACAGGAGGATTAGAGTTGAGTTATTGAAAGAGTAAGAATGACCAGGTTTTGGCACTTGGTTTAACTCATGTACACTGAGTAGACATATGTGCAGACCTGCCTATTTTGAGTGTGCACTGAATGTCAGACATTGGTAAAATAGGCATTTACGGTTATGAGTAAGAAGTGTGGTGACACCTTATTATTTTCATAATGGTCTAATAAGACACGGTAAAGAGGGACCATAGCACCAACTTTACACTTGTCTAATAACCATCCTGTATAATGTTTAAAACAGTAAAAAAATATTACTGTCACTGGATATTTGTTTTTAAAGGATGATCTCCAGTCATTGACCCAGTAATTCCTCTTACCGTGCGAGCCTATCTACTCAGTCAGGTACAGATAATCATGTGTGGGGGCGCATTTATTACCACAGTTGAAAACAACTTCACTCAGTTCAGGTTTGGGTTCAATAAGCTGTAGTTCAAATGGTTTACTTCTATTATAACAGCCTGAAAAAAATATGAAGACTACAAATATAGACCCACTCACACTATAACACATTTTTATAACACACACACATACATGCATACATACATACATACATACATACATACATACATACATAATACAAACAACAGACTGGGAGGGAAGACATAATTTTAGCAGTAGTTATTACAAATTGCCACTAATTTTTGTGCATATACTTTTACTTTCCAAGTTCCTTAAACAAGTGAGTTACAATAGTTACAATCAGAGAAAACTGTTTTCACGTTACTTCACCAGTCACACACGCTTCCACACTGCAACTTCAGTCACCTACCACTGGTGGACAGAAAAATGACTGAAAAATATCTTTGCCATATTTTTTCCAAGGCAAGAACAGGGAAACCATACAAATAGAAAAACACAAGAGAACAGCACTCATAGCAAAGACAAAATATTGTCGGTTCTGAGCTCACACTGGCAGAAAGATCCCTTCTGGCTTCACCACTATGGCACGTGCACACAGTTCCCACTGAGGACAGACTGTCCCTGCCACTCTATCCTGCCCCACACCCCCACCCCTAGCAGCCCTGACACTACTCTGCTTGTTCCGTGCACGTCCTCCCAGCCTATGTCTCCACCTCTCACTGCTAACGATGTTGATGCCACGTTCAAACAGCTCATATTTGGTTTTCTTACAATTCATAGCTTTAAATGTATTTATAAGTCATGCTTATGAGATACAATGTGATGTTTTGATTAAGTTATGCAATGTGACTGGCCATTTTTATCGTGAGACATTTTAAACATATTTCAATAAAGTTGATTGTTGCTTTCTGGTGTGTAATAATTCTCAAAGACCTCTTCCTCCTGTCTAACAGAAGCCTTAACATCCCCCTTCCCTCGATATTTCTCTTCCCACCCTTAGCCACCACTCAATTCTCTATATCCATGAGATCAAGACTTCTGAGAATTCTAAATGCCAGTAGAGCACACTCCAGTTACAGGAGAGCCTCCTGTAGGAAGCCTGGTTATCTTTCCAGTCCTAGTAGGGCAGGACTATGGCTACAGTTACCACGACATCTGCGTATCCGTCCATTTGTCCTAGGAGTCCTGGCATAGTGTTTTGCAGAATGTGAGGTTTCTCAAAGACTAGCACACTCTAGGTGAAATGTCTACACGTGGCTGTGTTGCTCGCCTTTGAACTGAATCACACCAGTTTATAGTTCTTACGCTACAGTGATTTCTCACACACAAACTTTTCTTTGACAAGTGGAAACTATTCCACTCATCACATGAATGGAAAACAGTTTCTGTTCTGAGTCCTTGCTTGAGAACTGACCAATGTTTTATTAAGTTGATGACAAGAATATAGGTACAGGGTGTGCTGCCAAAAATAAGGAGATGATTTAGCTGCAGAATGCATTTCTATCTAGAGCTGTAATTGTTTCCTTTCCTAATCTGAAATCCAGAGACTAAGACTAGGCCAGTGAACAAGTATCTACATCTCAGTAGATAGGTTTTTTGTTTGTTTGTTTTTTGTTTTGTTTTGTTTTGTTTTCTAAGACAGGGTTTCTCTGTAGCTTTGGAGCCTGTCCTGGAACTGTTTCTTGTAGACCAGGCTGGCCTCGAACTCATAGAGATCTGCCTGCCTCTCCCTCCCGAGTGCTGGGATTAAAGTCATGTGCCACCACTGCCTGGCTGTTTTTTTTTTAATGGTATTAAGAAAGTACAGCTATTCAGTGTATCTACCAAAGACTAAAGTTCCCACCAAGAGATCCACACTGTGGGTCCTTCTCCTGCGTCTTATGAAGTAAAGTGGAAGGAAATATGTCACCTTAAATCACCAGGAAACAAAATGTGGTAATTCTTAAGATACCAAGATTTAATCAATTATAGCCCAATTTCACTTGAGTTTTATGTTCAATGCTTTAATAAAAGAAAGAAAGAAAGAAAGAAAGAAAGAAAGAAAGAAAGAAAGAAAGAAAGAAAGAAAGAAAGAGAAAGAAAGCGCTACTCTTCCCTTGTTCTCAGAGGCTTGGTTCCTATGGACACTGAGGAATGTATGCTGAGCCATGGGTATGGATTTATGGAGCTAGGGTTTGGAATATGGAGCTAGGGTTTAGGAAGGAGGTAGCAACATGCTTTCAGGCTGCCATGTAGTGTGGGCCAGTGTTGTCTATGGTTTGAACACATCCCTCAAAACACACATATTAAACACTTAGTCTTCAATACAAGAGTATGCAGGCATAACTAAAATAGGTCAAGAGAGATCCCCATTGCCGAGGAGTGGGTTAGCCAACAATACCATGGGCTTTCTGATTATTCATATTGGTTTCTTGCCAACTTCATACAACCTAGAGTTATCTGGGAAGAGGATCCTCAGCTGAGAAAATGCCTCTATCAGATTGACATGGGTGGGCCCAAGTCACTGGGACCATGTCATTCCTGGGCAAGTCGGGTTGAGTAGTATAAGGAAGCAGGCCTAGCAAGCCATGGAGAGCAAGCCTTCCTCAATGGCTTCTGCTTCCATTTCTGCCTCCAGGGTTCTCCTTGAGCTATTGGCTGACATCGCTTGGTGATGAACTGTAATCTGTGAGGTAAAATAAACACTTTCCTGCTCAAATTGCTTTCAGTTTCAGTATTTACCACAGCAACAGAAACCCAGCTAAGACTCCAGTAATTAAAGCCAGCTTTGTCCTCATCTCCCTCTTTTCTTTTTGCTTCCTGCCACAGGATAATGTATCATGAAGTCTTTTCTCAGATGCCAGCTCCTTAATCTTAGACTTCCCAGCCTTTAAAATGGTATAAATAATATATCTATGGTTATTACGAATTACCCAAGTCTGTGGCATCTTCTTATAGCCATGCAAAACATCTAAGTAAGACACACATAGGTGCAATACTGCTGTCCATTGGCAGCAATGTTCTTAGGCAGTTTCTCTGCTGTCAGTCTTAGCTCTTCTACTTGTTAACCCCCAATATTGCTGCAACATCCATCATTATATCACGTCCTTCTGCAATTTCTATCCTCCTCTTTTAGCAAATGTTTTCTAAACGTTTACAACATGTTAGGTGGTGAATATAACCTTACTTCTCTGGAAGAGATAAATTACCCTTTTCTCAGAAAATCCTGTCTCTTTAAATACATCTTAGGATATAATAACCTTTAACAGGTTGCTATAGCCATTGCGCTATACCTTTACCAGGGCAATCACAGAGTATGAAGATGGTCTTGCTCGGTGTGCAAATAACACTAAAGTAGAAGGGTAAAGCCAATGGAGATAAACTTAGGGGGGATATGTCCTGTTCTATTATTGTCATGACTAGAGAAACCCTTTGGTTATGTAGAAATAAACACAGCAGCAGCAGCCACACAAAGAATGTTAAATTCGCCCTTTGCACTACAGCTACTCCCTCCTGGTACAGTATTGAAAGTTAGCTTTAATTAATATCAGTGCTAATCAGGAAGGCTATTCTTAGAAGGTTTGTTCAGTTGGCATTTTTCTTGCATCAGAGAGTCCACTCAGGGTTTAATTTTAATTTCAGGACCTGGGATGTTGCAACTGTCCATTTGGGGAGGAGCTAAGGAATATTCAAAATCTAATTTCAAGGACTCAAGAGCCAAACCACATTAGAAGTACTTGTTCATTTTAAATTCTGCTTTTAATTCATTTTAGGATGTTCTAATGAAAGTTACAAAACATACTGTTTCAGTCTAACATCTGGTTCAAATTGACTCTAACATGCTCGATTTTTGAAAGTCTTCAAGTTTCTGGTTAGCTGAAATAA